TTCTATAGTCACGGGGTTCTTGCTTAGCTTAGCTACAATGATATATGCACTGGGAGTGGGGGAGGGGGGAAGTGGGGACTGGCAGAGTGGCTCAAATGGTAGAGTGCCTGCCTAGCAAGCATGAGGACCTGAGTTCAAGTCCCAGTACCATCACACACACACACACACACACACACACACACAAGTCTGATGATACATGTACAGAATAGATTCACGAATGATTATAATACATCACTCTTGTGAAATACCAGGCCACAATAAAATCTTAGAATGAAGTGAAAATTACCCCAGCCATCAGCCAACAATCTGGTGGAGAAGCAGTGGACTGCTTTATACTAGTGGCTTCAGGCAAGCAAATAATACCTTCCTCACTTGGTTCTTGTGACGTTCAGCATTATAATGTGGCATGACGAGCTTAGATCAGTGCCAGACATAATGTGAGCTTTTTAACAGGATTAGAGGCTGGGGGTAGAGAGCGTGCCTGTCATTCCCAACCAAGGTCCCGGGTTGGATCCCTAGCGTGTGTGTGTACACACATATGCCACATACTCACATACACACAGGCTCTAGCTCAATTTCTGTTTTACCGTTGTTTTTTGTTGTGGTGGTGGTGGTAGTGGTTCTAGGGAATGTCTAGCAAATGTGTTTGCTAAGCATGCACTCCACCACTGACCTATATCAAAGCTCTCTACAGCTTCTTTGCTTTGTCTGTGTCCCTTCAGTTTGTTTCTAGGTATTGTTTAAAAAAAAAAAAGCCCCCAAACCTCAGGGTATATAAGGCAAAAGAAACATACCAGTCATTACAGGAGAACACTCTAAAACACCTTTCTCCATTGCCACCACTAGAGGACATCCTAGACTCAAAGGAAGCTTTGGAAAACAGCCACCCGAAATGCTGGGTTCATTTGGGTCCACATCTTGAAATAACTTTTGTATAGGTGTATTTTCACCTCTTCCTTTTGCTTAATCAACATAATGAGTGATAAATGAACAAGGGACAATGTTTGGGGGCAGAATTTTCAGTTAATACCATGGTTAGTTTCATTTTGCTTTAAAATCTGGGTTTAACTCTGTGAGGCAGAAATGTAAAAATGAAACCAAGAAGATGGAAAAATCCTTGCTTTATTTCTCTTCTTCCATTTAGCCCTCCTTTACACATTAATTATCAATTAATTAATTAATCTCTCCATTCAATAAACAATCATGGGAAACCTATGAGCCAAGTACGGCGTGAGGCTCCAGGTACCAGAACAAGGTGAACATGGACCCTACTTTCATAGGGGCTTGGAATAAATAATAATTGTAAAATTATTGTAAAAATAATAATAATATAGCCAGTTATATGAAAATCTGAAAATGTGGGGGATGGTGTTATGGGTAGAGGAAACAGTGTATGGAAAGGTTCTCAAGGCAGGAGTGATTTCAGCATGTTTGGGGATGCCATAAGAAAGCTAGGGTGTGGCTATGGCAGAGGGGGATGCAGGAGCAGTAGGAGATGAGACCTGAAGGGTAGCTATGGGGTTGACAGTGTAGTGTCTTGAAGGCCATGGTTAAATTTTGAGCTTTTATTGCACTGGAGACCATTAAGTGGGTGGGTGGGGGTTTCAGCAGAAGAATGATTGATGTCAACTCAGGTTTTGAGGTCACCCTTGTTGGATGTGCGTTATAGGGGTACAAATGTGAAAACAGAGTATGATAGGCAGAAAAATAGTCTCTCGAGGACATCCCCATACCAATGCCTGTAAGCTGTGAATATGTTAGATCACATGGCAAGAGAGAATTCAGGGAGCAGATGGAATCAAGGTTGCTAATTGTCTGTCCTTAAAATATGGAGATCATTCTGGATTATCCAATTGGGACAAGGGGCAGGGCAAAGGAGCCAGAACAAGAGAGATGCAGTGTGAGAAATAGTTGAGTAGCCATTGCTGACTCTGAAGATGGAAGTGGGCTATGAACTAAGGGTGTGGGAAGCCTCTAGAAAAAGCAAGAAAGAACAATATCCCTGAGAGCCCCTAAAAAGGAATCTAACTGTGCTACCATCTTGATTTTGGCTGAGAGAGAGAGAGAAATTTCAGACTTCTGACTTCCAGAACTGTAAGATAATAAATTTGGGTTATGTTTGGAATATTTGTGACACCATCCATCAGAAACTAAGACCCAGAGATCTCTGTAAAGAGTCTCTTGTAATTGTTTAGATGAGTGTTGGTAATGACTCAAGAAGTATTGATTTACTTTCCCTCCTAGGTGTGAGGATTTGTGTGAGGTCCTCTTTCTTGCTAGTCAGTAGGTCATTTGTTACCTCTTTGTAAGCAGGATTTGGACTTTTATGAGTCCCTTTCAATACCACAGCACAACTACTTCCCATTCATGGGATTCCTTGTCATGCTGCAGGAATAAACTCTTGGCCACAGTGTCAGAAGCAGACAGCTTGGGAAAAGTGAAATGGCAGGGCACCTCAGAAGCCAGTGTGTGGGAAAGTCTAAACTTGGGCAGGAGGAGGGACGAACACGGTGGCTGGACCACTGCAGATTTGACTGGGTGCTCATCTGAGGTTTGGACTGGTTCCCAAGATGAAAGAAACTCAGATGCCGCAGGCAAACAATGCACAAAGGCAATGTTGTTCTTGCCTCTGATAAAAGAATCTCTATAAACTCATCAGTCTATTGGGAAGGGAATTCCTTCTTTCTGTGATTTTCCAGAAATGATAGGTGTTGCTTGAGTAACATTTATCCCTTTTTGTGCTTATCAAAACTAGAATTAAAACTATCTGGCTCCAGGAATCCATTTTTCTAAGATAATTCCCCATGTTCCAATGTTTAACATCCATGAGTATTTTTTAAGGGTTTGTAGTAACCCAAGAATGTGGACACTATTTTAGATTTTTTTTTCTTTTCTTTCTTTACCTTTTTTTTTTTTTGTAATCAGTGGCCCGAAACTGTCTGTTATATTTACAAGCCGGGATCTAGGGTTACGTATCAAGATACATGCATGCTACAGTTCTGCTGAATGCAGCTGTCTTGATCTAGGCCAAAGATAATTTGCTGATCCAGAAGCTGAGGCCAGCAATTTTTATGTCTGCATCTGCTTCTGCCCATAACGTGTGGGTGAAGACAGGGCAACTTCAAGAGCAGTAGCCACACCAGCCTGAGCAAAAGCAAAGAGCAGAGGGTCAGGGATGTTTGCTTCCTGAAGCTTTCCTTCCTCACACACAGCATCTTGCAAAGTAACTAGTTGCAAAATATTTGGTTCATGCCTCTGGCTGGGTCCTGTCATGTTTCCTTGTAATTGTTTAGATATGTGTGCCTCTTCTCCACCTCCCCTCACCCCCCAGACAGTGAGTAACTTTCTTGGGGGGGGGTCTGTCTTAATCATATTGGAATTGTCAAGGCTCAACCCAGTTTCTGTTGGGTTGACCAGTTGCTATATGAATACTTACCAGATGAGGAAATGGACAAGGTGACAACATATGAAGAAACTGAAAAGCTTTTAGATTACTTTAGTCCTGCATGGAAGGAGTAGTTAGAAGCAAGAATGCTTAATGTGGACAGTGGTTGTTTTTTTTCTGCCCAGCGTCTGTCTCTTTTTCTGGTAAGAGCACTCTGGTTTTTCCTTTGGGGAACCACCCTTCCCATACCCTCAATCTATAAAGATTGCATGGAATTAACCTTGCACTGATATCCAGTGTTTGAATACTGACTTCAAGGCTTGGCCAAAGGCTTGGCCACAACATCAATTTGTATTGCTACAGTGGCCACACCTGTTGGATAATGGCTGGTATTCATTCTGATGGGTTGCTTCCTATTTCTGATCAATTATTCATTATTTTGAATTGAACCTCCCCCAGCACCTTGGACCTATTAAGGAAGAAACACTTTATTTTTGCAGGTGTTGCTAAAGTGGTAGGAAGAAGTCCAAAACTGTTGGCAGCCATCTTTTCACTATGAAACTAAAGCAAATTCAATTAAGTTGGGATTGAAACATGAAGAGGAACAAGTTCCTAATAACACTGGGAGCTAAGATCCAGCTATACCTGAAGCTGTCCCTGGAGTTTTCAGTTATATGAACAGTAAACTCTACTTTTGTTCCAACCAGCTATTGTCACTAGCTAATGAAAAGAGTCTTTTGGCTGATGGTTTAAATCTTTTCCTAATTATGCTTTTGGGAATAGAGAGGCAGCAAGCTTAGCTTGGCAGAATGCCCTGGGAAAGCGACTCATCCCACTCTGTTGATATCAGAGCCTAGGGCCCTACACCTCTCTTGTCACTGGAAAGCTGGTCCCCTGGCCTCAATGCCAATTCACAAATAATGAGAGTGGGGTTTTTGAGGAAAAGGAAATAAAATTTATTATTTATCAAAGAGGGGGAAAGGGAGAGTCAACCTCTCAAAGTCCTATAGTCCCACTTCTGAGAGGAAGTTTCTACTTTTTAAAAGGGGAGTTCAGGAGTTCAGTTCAAGCACATAACAAAATGCATGTCCCAGCATGAGTGCTGGCCTTGGTTCTCTAGGTGTCTGGTGCCACAACTCCAAAGCTGTGTGTCTTGATTTACTTCTCTGGTGGACAAAGAGAGGCAAGGGGTGGAGGACTGCCTGGTTTAACTGAGAGTAAAGGGAGTTACCTTGGTCTCTCCAGTATGTAGACAAGAAGGGGGAAAATGTCAGTTTGATTAACAGGTAGAATAAACTGGCCAGTGTGTAAACTGGCTACACCAAAAGGTTTTTCTGTTTGTAGTCCCCGTTACATTTTCCTCACTGTCAAGTTATTCCTTCCATTTCTGTGGAAAAGAGGTGTCACAATAATCTATTTCCTGACTTTAGTTAATTCATGGGCTCAAGTAAAGAGTCAGTGCTCCTCAGCCAAAGCAGCTCTTAAGCCGGTGTTCCACTCTTCGCCATGGAAATTCCATTCAGTGACAGAACTTTTCTTATTTTATTTTGATTTTAATGGAACCAACATTTTCAATACCTTCTATGAAGACATTTCAGATGATAAGTTAGCTCAGTGTGAATGGCTCTCTATCCCTATCCCTGTCCTCTTTGTGGTCTTCTCTATGGAAAGAGTCTAGGATAGATGAGCACAGTTTGGTTATGGAAGTGTCTAGAAGAATGGGAACCCCAAGAAACATGAGTCACACACCATGGTAAACAGGATTACTTAAAACTATTTTTTATTTTGCCTCTCAGCAACACTTTTCATTTGATTTGGGCAAAAGACCAGGAACTCAAATATACAGAAACAAAAACAAGATGTCCAAAACAGAAATTAAGATCTGATATACTGGAATGGCACCAGCATCCCTGTGTTCTGAGAATTCATGTCCCTGATTCAGTGTCCTCCTGGGACAAGTGCTGGCTCAAGGCAGACATCTGGGTGAAATGACAGGTGAAGTCTAGTGTTTATCAACTTTTATTTATTTATTTTTATTTTTGGCTAGGGTCCAGGATTTTTACAAATGCTTGAGATTCACAATCATCTGAGAAGCAGTTTGTGTTTGTAGATTACTTAGAATTGTCCCCCAGGGGTACATTGATTACAGCAATTAATTTTCATAACAGTGTGAAGTAAGTAGGCAGGCATTCTTATCTCCATTTTCCACAAGAAGAAACTTGAGGCACAGACAGGCTGAAAAACTTGCCTAAAATCAACTTGCATAGCTAGTTAATGGCAAAAAATAAAAAAACCAAAAAAACAAAAAAAGAAAAGGCAAATATACCAGTATTTGATTCTGCACTTCCTTTCATTCAATTAGAAAAGCTGTCTTTTCTTTCGTTTATGGAAGTTCCTTATCACTCCGTTTCTAACATTCGCTTGTGAGGTGGTCTCTACTCTATGTACAGATATATGTTATCCTTTATAGAAATGACTTGATATTTGTCTTTGAGTGTCTTTACTTAAGTAAATTTATTTGAACAGAAATGACATAGAACATCCATTTGTGGAAAGCCACAAGTGGGAGGTAACAAAATAAATACCACAAAAACAAAACAACATCACTGAATTCTATCGAGACAGGTGACCGAGCTGCTTTTTAAAATGGGCAAAGAGCCATGGTGGTTGTTACACAGGTGTTAAGAGCCCACTGACACTCTTAAAAGCAGAGATTTTCTCCTTGCTGTAATCACCATTGAAAAAGAACAGGATAAGGGAAAATTCTTTGTGACTCAGTATTACTTAATGTGTGTCTATACACTACTTAGAAATTACCCTGTGTACCACCAGTGGCACACACTTTGCACTCTGCAAACACTGTGTTAGCGTGTTCTGAAGCAGAATGATGGCTTCACACCTAAGTTTGCATTTGATAGAAAAGAAATTCAAAGGGGAGACATATTCAAGTGATATACAGGAAAATTAAAGATCTTGCCTGAGACTTGCTAAAAAAAGATTGAAAAAAAATCACACTCCATAAATAGCCAGTTTATTACCAAACTTGGGATGGGGAGGGTGCACAGGTGCCTAAATTGCCACTAAGTACATTCTCAGAATCTGAGTGGATGGTGCGGCTGTGGCCAAGCCGAGCAATGTAGATATGAGGAAGGGAGTGGGAAGCTATTAACAGAATCAAGACAAAGGCCAGACAGTCTTCGCGTCTTTGATGAGCGGATGGGTGAACTCTAGGGGTGCTGCTGGAGATGGGGGTTTACTGAAGATTGAAGTGAACCTAGAACATGAAAAAATGAAAAAGAAAAAAAGCAATCCACAAATTCCACTGTATGGGACAACTTTACACATGCCACAAATATTTGTACTTGTCATTGTAAACACCAGCATCCCTGCTCTCCCAAGAAACCTCCTGCTTCCCGAAATCCTGGTACCCCACCCCCACCCCAACAAGAGTAATGAGATTTCCAGATATCATCTCTGGAGCAGAGCAACGGATGCAAAGAGACTCACTAAGCAAAGTTGGTGACTTTGGCTGATGGGGCTGTGCTGCTTTGATTTCTTAAATTTTGTACTTTTTTGTTGTTCATTTGCCAGGGACCTGCCTCTGGAGAGTCCTGGAGGAAAAGATCTCACAGTCTATAGTCAAGGATCCATTCCTCAGAAACTTCTTTGGGGTGTGTGAGATGAGGACCATCCTCCTCCATGCTTGCAGCCAGCTGTAGTCACTTCAGGAGCTGTATGTCACAGACAGAGAGAGTGAGGAAGGACAGGGGACCTGGCCTCAGGGGCAGGCTTTCTGGGCTTCCCTTATTTGATGGATTACCCTGGCTTTACAAAGGCTGAGTTAGACTAGCAGGCCTGCACACTTTTGATTCTAAACACTGGCTTCCTTTTGAGAAATGTTTCTTACTTGGAAAATACATTTCACTTTACATGTGGCAAAACACTGAATTTTACAGATGCAGCAAAATGCCTGGTGCAGTTATGAGTCTCATTCCCTAATGGCTAGTGGCATTGTAACCAGCTTGTGTGTGTCATTCAGGCATTTCCCTCTTCATTTAAATACATAAATGTGCATTTGGAAATTATATATGCATCGTGTGTGTATGTGTGTGTACTTAATGGGATCATGCTATATACAGTCGTCCTTTGGGATCTATAGAGAATTGGCTCCAGGACCCTCAAGGATACCAAATCCAAGTCCCTTTCATAAAATTGCATATCCTAATATATACTTGGTGTCATCTCTAGATGATTCCTTGAACCTAATACAATGTAAATGCTATGTAAGCAGTTGTTACATTGTATTGTTTTGGGAATAACGACAAGAAAAGCATCTCTCCATGTTCAATACAGATGCACTTTGAAAAAAATTCATTCTGCACTTGGGCAAATGTGCAGTCAAAAACCTCACAGATATGGAAGGTACTGCCATTGCCTTTATTTTACTTATTCATTCAACTATTCACTAAATCTTTACACCTGGTGACACTAATGCCCAACAGTTATGTAGTGAGTACATTGTGTCTGCACTCTGCTTTGTGTCACTTAATCCTCCTAGCTCTGAGAGGTAGGACTGCTATTACCCCCATTGTATGTGTGAGAAGAAGGGGGCATGGATGGTTAAAATACCTGTCCAAGGGCACACAGCTCCTTAGAGGTAGAATCTGCATTAAAACTCGAGCTGTCTCACTCCAAAGTAAGCACCTTTAAGTGCTGTGCCCAATTATCATCAGCAGTGACAGAAATGAAAATGTTCTTGGAACCTTCTCTGCAGCACGCGTGTGATACAGACAATAAATATATCATTTGTCAGGGGGTGGTAAGTGCTAGGAATAAAAGTGAAATCAGTACAAAGGCCCTGAGGCAGGCACATGCTTGTGTTGCTCAAACAGAAAAATCCAGTTTGGCCAAAATGGAGAATGAGGGGAGGGTGCTGGAGGTGATCAAGCCCTGTGAGGTCATAGTAAGATGGGAGTTTCCATGCTTAAACTTAGTTTAGATCCTTTCCTATGAATATAGATTTCCTTCATTCAAACACAGCCTGTCACGAGCATCCTTGCACATTTGTGGCTCACAACATTAGAATTACCTGGAGAGTCCTAAAACCTACCAATTTCTGGCCCTGTAACTGGAGATTCTAATTTAATCAGTTCAGGGTGGGTCCCAGTCATTGGTAGAATTTTTTGTAGCTCCCATGTTGGTTCTAATGTGTAGCTAGAGTGAAGAATTACTGATTTTTACATGCATTTTTGTGCACCTGTATTTAGGGCAGACACTGAGAAATGGAATTGTTGGGCTGATGGGGACAGGGATTTTAAAGTTTAATATGGTCGTTCCTTGGTATTCAAAGAGGATTGGTTCCAGGTCCCCCCAGGTATACCCAAATCCATGGAAACTCAAGTCTCTTATGTAAAATGGTGTAGTATTTCCATATAACCTATTTACTTCCTCCCACATGCTTTACATCACTTCTAAATCTAGAAGTGATACCTTATCATACCTAATACAATGTAAAAAGTTATTACATTGCATTGTTCAGGGAATAATGACAAGGAAAAAAGTCAGTACATGTTCAATACAGATACATTTTTTCCCAAGTATTTTTGTTCTGATGTTGGTTGAATCCAGAAATGTGGAAGTCATCTGAATTGACTTCTGTAAGAAATGCCCTAATTTACTCTTTCACAAATAGTATAGAATCCAGTTTTATCACACCTTGCTGACCTTGATATTATCCATCTTCTTAATTGTCTTAATCTGGCAAGCAAAATCATATAGTATTTCGTTGAAGCTTTCAATTGGGCTTCCGTGGTCACCAGTGATGTTGAACAGCTTTTCTACATTCCTTCTGATTTCCTCATCAACATCCTATCAACCTTAAATCATTTTCACAGTAAAAGTCCTTCCATTGTTGCTGGCTTTTCTCTCCCTCAACTTATCTGAGACAACAAAGAAAGAACCTCTGACCTTCTAGAAATAGGTAATACCCCATTTTTCATTAGGGCATCACAAAAGTTCTCTGAAGACACATCTATGAAAAAACAATTCCCAGGAAGCCATGCTCCAGTCACCAGTACAGGAAAGGACATGGATTTACTTTTACATTTTTGTAAAGTGGTCAAGTTCTTGCTTTGTTCCCCTCTTCATATTCTTCATGCTTCCTTCCATGTCTGATATAATAGCAAGATGTTTCGAGGCCAGGAAAAGATTCATACCGATTTGTGTATAAGTAAGACAAACGTTCTCTCCTGAGTAGAATGGGTTAATATCTGTTTCACTCCATGCCTCCTAATGGGACACAGGCCTAGGACCCTTAACTCTACCTAGAGGTCAAGTTCTGCCTTCCTAGAAACCTAAGAACACAAAGGCTCCTATGGCTAAATATGCAAGCTTTTAATACATGGTTGGGTGTACATATGTGTGTTTAGGTATCTTAAGACCATGCAGAGATATGAGTTCAGTGGATCACATCGCATATGCATTTAACTTATAGCAAATCAACTATTTATGTTCCATAAAAAAGATTATGGACCTGGAGAATCTGGCTGCCATTCCATTCAGTGGTCATGAACAGTTGTGTGAGCACCACTCTTATTCTTTCTCTGTGAGGCTGGAGTATGGTTCCAGTGACACTAAACATGGCCAACTACTTAGGCTAGTGCTCCTTTTCCATCATCAGAAGTGTCTACTTGTTGTGTGCGGCTGATCAGATGCATGTGTATGTTTAAAAGGGCACCCAGCTATGGATGCTCCAGGATTAATTTTGACCATATTCAGTGCTTACTGTGGGCACTGACACGAGGCTCTTACCTCCACATAGACGAAGCTTCTCTATACTACCAGGGTCATTTGGGAATGCCACTTTTCACTGAACTCCAAGGAACATCAGACAAGTGACTATAAACCTAACCATGAGGAAAGAGGAGACAAACCTGGGAGGTGTGAAACTTTCGGCTGTGATAAACAAAGCTTCTACCAGGTGTCTGAGGTGTGAGTGTGATACAAGAAGTAAATATTTGGTCTCTGGTTGTGGGTATTGAGCCCAAGGCCTTGCACAAGCTAAGCCGGTGCTGTACCAATGACATACATCCCAGTCCAGACTATTTTTTTTAAAAACAGCATTTTTCAATGGCAATGGTTTACTTCAAATAGTATTATTTACGAAACTCAGAACACACACATATTCCTGGTTTTTTGTCACATCTCCAGGCTCTGCAGTCAGATTTTCCCAGCTCTTGATGGAAGTTCTTGCTGCCTCCCAGGTTGTTACAACAGAGCTCCCGTGGGTACACCTGCTAGGCATAACCCTATTCCTCACCTTGGCATTGACTTAGATGTAATAAATTGGGATGATGAGTTTGCTGATGTAAATGAAAACTGACCACTCTGCTAACAGCTAACATACTATACAGTATGTTCTTCCTTTTGGGATTTGAGGGAGTGAGTTTGCCAGGGCTGGGCAAAGAGGGATCTGCAAAGTAACAGGATCTGAATTTCCATGGTGGGAGCTGATTTAACTTGTTGGGATTGGGTGGGAACTGCTTTTAAACCTCCCCAGAACACACACATATTCCTGTTTTTTTGTCCAAAATTTGGGAACTTATGTCTTAGTAGTCATTCAATTCCTGTAGTAACCTGGAGCTGGAACATTTCGTTTCAGAGGATTACTAAGAAATTGACCATGTTACTCATCTTAATGGAAAACAGAACCGATTTCATTCTCTAGGGGGCTACTTCCTTCCTCCCTCTCTCCTTCTTTACCTGTCTGTCTTTCTTTGTCTTTATCCCCCACCTACAATATTTATTTATTTTGAGATAGGATCTTGCTGGATAGCCCAGGCTGTCTTTGAACTCACTATGTAGCACAGGTTGGCCTCAAACTTACTAAGCAGCCCAGGTTGGCTTTGAACTTACGATCTTCCTGCTTATATCACTGCATCCAGCTACAAGTCTTTAAATTTGAGTTTCTCCATGTGATTCGAACTCTGGAAACTTTTATTGTTTTCTTTGATAACATGGAGGAAAAGGTATCTAAAAGGAAACTGACCTTATAGATGGGGAAGTTAATTCTATTTTTATTTCATAGATAGGGAAATGATGTTATTGAGAATTTACTTAACGTGCCCAGATGGTCTGTGTGTCAGAACTAGGATTTGAGCCCTTACAAAACTCATGCCAAAACTTCCAGGCTCTAACCATTGTGAGACACTACCCTTCACGAATAAGGAATGGAGACGTGACCCCCCTCTTATTATTTTATTCTCAATAAGAATACATCTTATTCTTACTAAGAAACATACCATTTATTCTTATTAAGAAAGCTTCAGTCACAAGCATATACACATCGACACCTCCTCCCCAGTTAGAAGAATTTGTAGGCTGGAGAGAGTCCCCTTACATGACTTCTGGGTCCTTTGTAAAACGCCTTAGATGGTGTCTCATAGGCAAAGTGATCTTTTAATGCCACATTGTCCACTACAGATTGCAAAGTAGGAAGCATCCAGGTTCCCAGTGTGGTTATTGCTTTTGTTTTGTTGTTTGTTTTATAGCTGGCCCTCACCATGTTTTAACAATATGACTTGGTTGTCATCATTTAAACCCCAGAAGACTTTAAATAAAAATCCCATTTCCAATACCTTTTTCAAAATGGGACCCACAGGCTAAGTGGTTACAACCAGAGCAAATCAGTTCATCCCAGCCCTCTCCACTCCATTGTCCCATGGCCAGGTGCCTCCTTCACCTAAGTCCCCTCCCTGACTCCCTGACTTTGGCAGCCCTTTGACTTTGTGATCCTTGACCCTGACTCCTGATGTGTCGAAACCTTACCACAGTATCCCCCACGTAAGTGGGGTCAGCCATTGGCAGGCCCTATTACTGCTTTGCTACTGGGAATACTAGAAGAGATAAGTTGACACAGAGGTAGTGTGGAATTGTGGTTGAAAGCACAGTGTGAACAGTTACACTGAAAACCTATCTTTTCTACCAAGTAGCTATGAAACTTTAGACAAGTAACTTCACCTATCTGAACATCAGTTTCCTTTTCTGTAAAATGGAGATAGTAATACCCACCTCTGTGGGTTTCTGGGAAGATTCAATGAAGATTAATTCCCATAAGAACTTTGGATGGAGCCTAGCATATGACAATGTCTACGTCAATGTGTCAGCAGGTATTATTATAACACACTTAGCTCTAACACTGGTCTGGGCAATATGTATTTTCATGAGTCTCCAGGAGTTAAGTCAAGACTTGGCCTCTTTTCCTTGGAACACTGGCTTTTGACTTTGGCTCACGAGTACAAAGCCTTGAACTCTCTTTAATGGCATATTAAAATCTGAGGTCCTCTCCCGGTAAGGTTGATAATGGTAGTAGTAACAGGATTACTGAATGCATTTTTAGTGTGCCAACTAAGACCACCAAGCTACACACGCTCTGTGGGTTATCTATGCAACAGTGGCACTAGCTTTCGGAAATGGGGACGATTATAATCCCCATTCCATAGCTGAGGAAACAAGTTCGAGCTGGTTAAACAATTGACTAAAGGAAGGGGACAACCTGGGTCCATCCTGACCCATTAATCCCATACTCCACAGCTCCTATGCACACACACACAAACACATCATGCATTATTTTTTATATTTTGTTGGTACAGGAGTTTGAACTCAGAGTCATGCACTTGCGAGGCAGGTGATCTACTACCTGAGCCATACCTCCAGCCCATGTTATGCATTCTTTAAAGAATGAAGTCAGGTGTGTTCACATCTGTTCTCCAACCGCCTCGCACTTCGCAGGCCAACATCATCAAATTTCAATCAATTTGATGATACTGACATCAACGCCACCAACACAAGGAACCTGTTTCCTTTGATGTTTTAGTGTATTTTCCCTCTTCTTGGGACACAGCCACTTATTTTTCCTTTGGGACACTTCCTAATAGGACATCATATCCTTCATCCACCTGCCACTGATTGCTCCTGGGTCTGGCTTGTCCCATAGGAAGTTGTGACTCTTGCTACCTTCTTGGTGGCCAACGTTGAGTTGGCTGATCTGGCAGGATGCAGGCTGTCTGCTTCATCCCTCACCCACCCAGGTGAGCGTCTTTGGTTAATCAAGCTAAAAAGAGGTTGGCCTTCTCAGCTCAATGGGGGTGATGCTTTGGACAAGGGTATAGGAAAAACTGTGCTGATCTGGCAGAAAAGATAAAGGATTTCTCAGCATTCTTATCAGCCCTGCCCAGATGGAGATGAATTTGGGCTTGTCATTTCTGGGTCTGGAATGTCCCTCCCATCACCTTGTCCTCTATCAAACCTCTGATGGAAAGTGTCATTGATTCTAGCAAATGGAGCTCATCTTAGCTAATTAGAGAAACCAAAAGAAATATGTCCAAATTCAGAAAAACATCAGCAACATTCATTTCTTTATGAGATGAAAGTTCATACCAAAAGCACGTGGTGGCTTTTCTGCCCTTAAACTGAGAACTATTAGGCTAATTTAATGTAAAATTGTGTAGGAAACCATTTCACATATACATGGCAAGACAGACCAGAGAACAATCCTAAATATCTCATTTTTTTCTCCTATGTTTCCCATCTTCTTACAGGTGGGACTATGTGACTGGTTTTAGTCATTTAATTTTAAGCCTCAGTGACATTTGTGACTCCTAGCATGCAGTGAGGACTTCACATAGGACTATCTGATCGTCCTCCATCCTTGACTTAGCCTGAAGACACTTCCTGTTCTAGATCAGAGGCTGGCAAATTATAGCCAAGATACCTGGTTTTTTTGTAGATAAAGTTTTATTGGAACACAGTAAAGGTAGACAGATCAAGGATTGCATAGAATTCATTGATGGACTTATTGACAGAAATATGGTCTTGGATGGCAGCAAGACCAGTGGATTCCCAAAATTTGGGTCAGAAAGAGGGACATATTTATGGGTTAGAATAAAATCCTACCTGGAGTGTACCTGGTTCATCTTAAGATAATATCAGAGTCATGCACTTCCCTGGAACCAGGGTCTGATTGTACTGCTGTTCTAATAGTTTGTCTATTTGTAATTTGCTGGGAAACCATGCAGGAAAAAACTGACTAGGGTTATTCTGGGGCAGTCATGGTAGTTACGAATCAATATGGCTATACTCATGTCAAGCTGAATCCATACACCCCTGTTCTAGACAGCAGGGCTACAAGATGGTATTCAGCCTGGGACTCTGACTGCGTGGGGGAGAGAACTTCCACCCACCTGCATGGTTCATGTAATAATGAAGAAGACATGCAAACACTTCTGTTTTGAGTTGTTACTGGAGGATATCCTAACTCAGTCTAACAGATCCAGTGAGCATTCAAGAGAAGGCATTTAATACAGGGAGGGATACAAAAACCCACTTACTTCCTTGTGAAGTGCACTGCACAAGAAATGCCGATGATAAGAAGGCCAATGATGATGGAAGCGATGGCCACCCACTTGGCATTCCGCCCCAGTCGCTTGGCTCCTTCGTAGTCTCCATCATTGTAGCTGTTCAGAGACTGGGGGACACAAGGGAAGAACTGATGACAACAGACAATCCATAAGGAGAGGTGTCTGAAAAAAATGTCTAGTAGAGGTCTTTGGTGGCTGGTCACTTCAAGGCCAGGGAGCTAAGCAAACCATGTGGTTATCACCTCCTCCAGCAAGTCTTTCCTCAAGTCCAAGGCCAAGTTTAACTGCCTTCTCTGTATTTCCTGATTACTTTCATCTTATTGTTTTCCATAGAATATTAAATGGATTGTTTCTCCCACCAGAATGCAATGACTAGGAACACTTGTCTATCTTACGTAGCACAGTGTACTAGTGTCCAAAGCAATACTGGTCACGTAAGTGATGCTTGATACATATTCATAGAATGAGAGGATGCACAGGTATGTCTGCCTGTGTCTGCCTGGTCCACTAGACCAAACTACGCAAGCTTTCCAAACTACGACCCATGGGCCCAATTCAGACTGCCACCTGTTTTTGTAAAGTCTGTTGGGAACATTGTCACTCTCATTTGTTTCCTATTGTCTGTGTCTGTTTTTGTGTTAACAATTACAAAGTTAAGTAGCTGGGACAGAGATTATAGAGTTTGTAGGACCTAAAATAATTGCTTCTTGGTCCTACACAGAAAAAGCTCACCCAACTCCTGCACAAGGAGTTCAGTCCATGAGGTCAGGGACGTTGGCTGCATTGTTCATCTCTATGCACAAGCCATCTGTCATTCAACTGGTACTTATAGACATGGCTTTTCTAGCTGTTAAGATGTGACATGGGTTGGTAACTAGCAGCTACTTAGAGGCTTGGCCTCCTTCCTCCATCTCCCATACACCTTGTTCCTCCTCCCTATTTCCCACCCCCATAGTCCAGCAGGTTAAGGGTTATTACTGGGCTTAGAAGAGCATCATTTCCAAATCTGTGTCTAGGTCAAATTTGTTAAATATTTAAATATTTTCTCTGTTGCTATTACTTTGAGCAATGTCTGGTCCATTGCAGGAACTCAAGAAATATGTATAGACTGAATGCACACATCTTTTTCCTACAAGACATGAGTTCATTCAGGGCATCTTGGAGCCCCATGAGCTGGCACAGTGCAAGATGCTAAGAGACTCCTTGCTGCTGGGTGAAGGCCGGAAGCTTTTCGCCTCCCTTACGTCATCCCACTGATAAGAATCTCCCTGAAGAAGCAGTCCAAGGAAGACTGGCACATGTATTTAGAAATCATGTACAGAGGGACTGATCAGTGGTGTGAATTGTACTTTTCATTGGGAACCTCTATTTTTTGGGGAGATGGGGAAAGGGCAGTACTGGGGTTTTGAACTCAAGGCTTCACACTCGCTAGGCAGTTGCTCTAACACTTAAGCCATGCCCGCACACCTTTTTGCTCTGGCTGTTTTTGAGATAAGGTCTCTCCTTTTGCCTGGCAGGCCTGAATTAGGATTCTCTTATTTGTGCTTCCTGCAGTAGCAGGAATGACAGGTGTGTATCACTATGCCCATCTTTTTCTGTTGAGATGGGGGGTCTCATAAACATTTTGCCAGGGCTGGCCTGGAGCTGTGATCCTCCCAATCTCAGTCTCCTGAGTAACTACGATTGTCAGCTGAGCCACTGCTGGGAACCTGGCTGGGAACCTCTATTCTTTTATTTTTTTTATTTTTTCACTTTTCTTTTATTATTCATATGTGCATACAAGGCTTGGTTCATTTCTCCCCCCTGCCCCCCACCCCCTCCCTTACCACCCACTCCGCCCCCTCCCTCTCCCCCCCAATACCCAGCAGAAACTATTTTGCCCTTATTTCTAATTTTGTTGTAGAGAGAGTATAAGCAATAATAGGAAGGAACAAGGGTTTTTGCTGGTTGAGATAAGGATAGCTATACAGGGCATTGACTTACATTAATTTCCTGTGCGTGGGTGTTACCTTCTAGGTTAATTCTTTTTGATCTAACCTTTTCTCTAGTACCTGTTCCCCTTTTCCTATTGGCCTCAGTTGCTTTTAAGGTATCTGCTTTAGTTTCTCTGCATTAAGGGCAACAAATGCTAGCTAATTTTTTAGGTGTCTTACCTATCCTCACCCCTCCCTTGTGTGCTCTTGCTTTATCACATGCTCATAGTCCAATCCCCTTGTTGTGTTTGCCCTTGATCTAATATCCACATATGAGGGAGAACATACGATTTTTGGTTTTTTGAGCCAGGCTAACCTCACTCAGAATGATGGGAACCTCTATTCTTGATTTTGAAATCAGCCCTTCAGTAATAATTGTCCCTGGAGTATGAAGTAGATTAGATGTATGGAGACTATTCCAAGCCAGAGAAATACCCAATACACCACAGAGCTTTTTGCTTTTGGAACCTTTCCTTAATTCTTGAAGCTGGACTGCCTTGGTCAGTGACAGGTCCAGAAACTCAGCAATAAAGAGGCTGTGACTTCAGAGGTCTTGTGAAATGAGGATCTGTGACAATGTCAAGAACTTCCCTCAAGGTGAGTTCCAGAATTCTGAGTCCTAGGTTGTGGAGTTCTTGACCCTGGGGGCCCATTAGAAATATTTGGGTAGTTTAAAAATATTGGGGTGGTATCTGGACCCCATCCTAGAGAGATTCTAATTTAACTGGTGTGGGGACCAGCCATATTTTGTACGCTTTTTTTACTGTGATAAATTATGCACTTTGAGTGTACAGTTTGGTGGCATCAAGTCTATTGACACTGTTGTACAACCATTGCCACTATCCATCTCCAGAGCCTCTCCATCTTTTGCAAAGTCTGTACCTTCTAAATGCTAACTCTGTTCTCCCCTTGGCCCCTGGCAACTACCATTCTACTTTCTGACTCTATGAATTCAGCTATTCTGGGCACTTCATATAAGTAGAGTCACGTAGTGTTTCTCCTTTTGTGAGTGACTTCTTTTTTGTTTTTATTTTCTTTTGTGAGTGGCTTCTTTTACTTAGCATAATGTCTTCAAAGTTAATCTGTGTATCTGAATTTCTTTCCATTTAAATGCTAAATAATATTCCATTGTGTGGATAGATGATACTTTGTGTTTCCATTTGTCTGCCTAGGACGCTTGGGTTACTTCCGTATTGTAATTAGTGCTCTACAGGATTGAAAACATTTAGTCTAGACAGCCATCTTTAATGTCCTGCAGGTTAAGAAACCCACCACTTTAAATTTATTCCAAGGAAGGATGAAATAGAGCCTAAACTCAGATATCCGAGTTCAAATTCTACATCTTAGCTGTGAGAACTACAGCAAATTACCAACCTTCCTAAAGTCCAGTGTCTTCACCTGTAAATTGGGGATAATGACAGCAACACCTCTTCCAAATTGGAGGAGCCAATGAGTTAATGCACACAACGTGGTTAGCATTGACTCAGCATATCATACATGCTCAGTAAATTTGAGCTTTTATTGTGAATTGCCACAATGGTTCCATGATGACTATTAGATCACTGGGAGGGCAATGGGGTCATCACTACCATTTGTTGGATCAGAATCTCTGAGGACCCAAGTTTGAGAAGTGAGCTTAGATGCTTCACAACCAAGATCACTGCATAGAATATTAGAAATCCCACCAGATCTTACAACCCAGTTCAGAACTACGAAGATTCAAACCCTCCCGAAGTAATCATTATTTTGTGCTTCCTGGGAAAACAGAGGGTTCAGAGATTAGTCATAGTAATAGTTTGAGCTCCTGTAACAAAAGGAAAAATAATGAGACCCCTTCTTTGGCAAACAATGTCAACTCCTGGCTGCTTAGCTAAGGAAACAATTTCATGTTCTCAGTGGAGTGATAAAAAAGTGATAAGAACGGCCAGTCCTTGCCACATGGAAGGGCACATTTATTCACCTGTGCATTGCCCATGGGGTCAGGTGAGATTGTGGGGGGGGCGCCCTGGATTATTTGGGGAGTTTAGTACAGGTCAGGGCAGCCTTGTTGGCCATCTGGGTGAGGAGCATTTGGGTGCAAACCATGGAAGAATCCTGCCCCACATTTGTCATCCTCCTCTCTGCAAACCACCATCTGGATGTGATGGTCCCTGCCTGCAGACCCAGCGATTCAGGAGGATCTTAAGATGTAGCTTGACTGGGGCTTCTGTTGGCATAGAAAAACAGATGAAAAGCCTCTTTCAATCACAAGTATGGGCTCTCCTCTCCCTGTGTACAGTCCTCTTCTGAATCCATTCTATCCCTGTCTTGGAGAGGGGGCTGCCCACAGATAAGTGTGCTGGGTGAGTATGAGGATACAGGTGGGAATCAGAGTGGGAGACTAGAATTCTCAGTCGTCATTCTGGAGGGCATCCCTGGCTGGGGCTTCAGCTGAAGGGTGGAGAACTAGCGATGAGAGCAGGAGGGGGGATGCCTTCCCTCCATGCCCAGTGCTGGGAATGGATCTCAGGGCTTCTGCATGCTGGGCAAGTTCTCTACCCCTGAGATGTACCCCCAGGGCTCGGCTGTAATCCTTTCCTTCTTCCACTTGGAGAGTCATAATAAGGGTCTCTTGGGAGATGCCACAGCTGAAGTGGGTTTTAGAGAAAAATGCATGTTTTATAAATATTTTCTGAAGTGCTTCGAATGTAAACTATCCCATCTGGTGTGGAAGAACTAGAAAGAATCAGGATGGTGTCAGATATTCAAATTTTATATGATCTTATTTATTCTTTCAAAAAATTATGAGTGCAATTTGCAAACATTTAAATGCTCCAGAGGCACATACAAAAAGTAGTAAAGCTTTTTCTCTAGTTTTATTTCCCAGTTTTAGATTCACATTTGCTTCTAGATTTCTTTTCTCCCCACCAATCCTAAGAAAAGAGCACAGCTTCCTCTGCTTCCATTATAACTAAGCATGTGTATCATAATTAGGAGAAAGACACAGCAATTTGCACTCCAAGATAAACTGAGAGTAACAGATGCAGTCTGTCTAATCCTATCCCTCACATATTAAAACCTTGAAGAGTTCCTATAAATCTGTGCAAAGACAATTTCATCCCCGCCTCGGGCAAAGCTGATATCTGAGCATAGGC